TTCACAATACCTATCCAAATTGAAATGTATACATAAATATATATATTATAATATATATTGATAATATATATATTTGATAAAGAATATATATTTAGGATTTATGTATATATATCGATATGGATAGACATTGTAATATATAATATTGATAACATATATATATTTGATAAATAATATATATTTAGGAAATTGATAATATATATGATAAAATAATGATAATAACATATACATACTAGTACACATCGGGTATCACTGTACCCGATGTGCGGCGAACGCGACGACCCCTGGCGTCGATGAAAGCTGACGAGACAGCGTTAGTGCTTCTCAAAGCAGCGTCCTCGCAGTCGTGCCTGCTGCGTGTGCATCTAAACCAGGATGCCGAAGCACCCCATTCGCTCGGTGCAGCCGCTGGAGAAGTCGCAGGATGCTGACAGTTGAAACTCAAGACTAGAGTCGTACTTAAGTGAATCGTTACCTAGTACTACTAATAGTAAGCTCAAAATCAGTGAATTGTACTTACTGTTATTAATAGTAGCTGAAGCGATAAGTAGTCAACTAGTATTTTGGCCAATGATATGGATCTATTCTAAATCGCGAGACTTGATTTGTCAGAAAAATCATATTGCGAAGTATATTCATATTGCGAAGTATATTGGCCAATACAAGTTCAACACTATGTCGTTCGTCATGCTTAACCCTCACCGTTGTCCGTACTAGTAGTAATAAAAACTTATTTATTTTTTAGGTTTTAGAAGAAATTATAACTATTAATAGTGTGGGCCCTTATTATAATTAATGTGGCTTCCTTATTACTACAGCATTAATAATTAAAAGTGTAGGCTATAGTGCTGCGACGTTGAAAGACACCATGTTGCGGTAAATAACGAGTTTTGGGGTTAGTACATAGTAGTTGACCAATCGACATATAAGGAGGATGTTCATGTATAACAAGGTGGAATGGGATCTGGTTCGTACATACTAGGTACTGCACACTGCGCAGTTAGTTTTGCGGATGGGGACGATGGCTAGCATTCCCCCGTGCTGTTTGGGTCACACTAAGCTTAGCACTTCGATAACGTGATGTTATACTACGTAGTACTAGTATGTTAGTTGCAACTGGCGATGTCATTACGTACTGCTAGCAATTACTTCTACTGTATTTCATAGAATACTGCCAAGTACTTGTATTCAAGTCCGGGACGGTTTCGTAAGAGTTTTCGTAACTACCCAATAACCAGACAATACTCAGAGAAAATGTAGTGTAGCCTTCATTATTGAAATACACATATTATTAGTGTAGGCAAAAATGACCACAAATCCACCACATTCTCGAATAATGATGACCAACGATTGTTTTAAGTTGCATTTACTACATGTGTAGTACGTGCTTCAGTTCCAATGCGTAGACTATTTGATGCATTGTGTGTCGACATTGGGGATATATATCAGCGACCAAGTGAAGACTTCACCAAAAAGGCTATATTTCCATGTATTTGATGGTAATAACGTTAATGACGAATACTACTCCCTCCGAGTAGGGTTACACAACTGAACTACAATTACATCTTTGTTATCACAGCTTTTGGATCCACGCCGCCAGCAGTGTCATATCGCGGGCGTACATGGCAGCCCCTGTGCGGATGTTTTCCAGGAACTGCGCCAGCGAGCGGGTAAACGCGCCTTGGGGCGGCCGACCAAGAACGCTTCGACCGCCGTGGTGGCTTGTTCCGTCTGGAAGTTGTGGCGATGGATACACACAGGATGCGTCCCACGACGATCTGCGAGTACTGTGCGCTCAAAGCGTCCCACTTGGCCTGCACATACTCCCTTAAGGCAGTCGGCTGCGACGCTGCCAAACACGCCGTGGATGTCCTGGCTGCGGACACCTCCCGCCACGGCCCACTCCAACGCGCGCGTCTTGAGCTTCACAAACGGAAACCGGCTCAGCGCGGCCAGCACATGCAACGGTTCGTCGATAAAGTCGCTGGTTTCATACACATGGAGGAGGTACGCAAACGCAGCGTTGGGCTCGGACATTCTACGCACGTGGATGCTGTACACGATCGAGCGCAAGTCGGCAAAGAGTGATGCCGGGGCGGAACTGCAGCGTGGAAGCGCGCCGAGGCTTCCGCCGCTACGGCCGGGTCGTTGGCCGCAGCCGGCAATCATGTCGCGGCGGAAGTTGCTGGTCAGGTCTTGATTCGTCGGACGCGCGTCCCCCTTCAACTGGAACATCACGGCCACG